GGGGCAGGAGGAAGAGGAGGAGGAGGAGGAGGAGAAGTTGATGAATTGTTCAAATAGTGACATGACGTAAGTAGAACCAGAGAAGGAAGTTACTTTGATAGCCACATCCTTCTTTTCCATAAAATTCTCAGTCGAGTGATGGTTTGCTTGACTTTTTAATGTTTTGCACACAGTCATAGTGATGGAGCCTGGACTGAACAACACCGCCAAAATGTGTCTATAACTAGGCGTTTGAGTGTTTAGTGCAATCGACCCTTAATTTCTTACGAAATAGTAGCAGAAATTTATTCAATAGAAGGTTGATTAACGACGCAACTGTTGCCTTCAATCACCAGCAGTTGCCCAGGGCATCGTCACGGGATCTAAGACGTAAGACCAACCTAGACCGTTATTAAGGATGGTGAAATGCCTAAACCAGTCCGCCTTTCAAACCAAATACCGCAATCTCCACACTACTTGAGTCTTTTCGTCTCAAGGAGGAGTATTTGCATGCCTTCGTAAACACAGAGGGTGTAGTTTTTGAGAAAACCATTTAAAATAGGAAACGCTAGTCAATCAGCTCATGTGAAAGTGGTAGGCCGGATTCCACCCGAGCGTTGCGTCAGAATGGTTTATCTTTGGTGCTAGGCCAAAGTTTGGGCTATGGATTTGTCAACTATGCGAACGCCTCGGATGCGGAAAAAGCCATTAAACACTTCAATGGAATGCAACTGAAGAACAAGAAGATTAAAGTAAGTTGGTAAACATTGCTACATATTCACTATTTACATTGAGCCCTAGGGCGCTCCATAAACATGTGTCAGCCGAGTGATCGCGTAACATAAACAAGATCTTTGATTTCTTTCTCAAGACGCCCTCTACGTAATCACTTCAACATCGATGTAGTAGACCACTTAAGTGCAGCTCATAAATCAAACTGAATGGGTAAAAAATAAATGTGAGAGTGTGCCCACATACAGGGAGGAACTGACTTCGAGTTGAATAACCTACTCCAAGTTGACCTACCATTTTCCTGTTTAGAATTGAATCAACTCTGTGACGGTATGCGAAATAAAACTCTGAAGTAAAATTATCACTGTCATTCACACCACCCACAAGCCCATTGAGTTTACCTAGCTCACCACTTTGTTTTTTTGTTACTTATCAATTTATCTGCCTGCAATTGTCGTTGCATTTGAGTTTTCCTTTACACTTTGAACGTTTTTTCGTGATTTATAAGTTCTACCATTGCTCTCAAAGTGAAGTAAACACAAAGGCGTATTGGTTGATAGAAAGTGCGCCTTATTGTTGTGGCGTGGACATTTGTCATGCATTTGTTTTACTAAAGTGTAGTTTCGTTCTCCGCCCAACTCTTGTGAAGGCGGTAGAAGATTAAGGCAAATGTAATGAGCCTAAGTTGTCAATGTATCAGTTCCTCTAATACCTAAATGTGAAGCAGAAATACTCAGTTATATGCACATTTTGCTTCTTGTAAACCCTCTACCCTGCTTTGTGACCGCTTTTTGCTGGAAACACTCATCTGGCATCAGTGGGTGGCAAATTGAAGCCATCATGGTATCCCTTCTTCGGTAGTGGCAAATGATACCAACACGCCCCACTTTCACCCACTTCACCCAATGCGGAGATCCTGGCAGTCTACTGGCAAATGCCAACTCCGCAGACGTGCAAATTCTACAATCAATCCAAATAAGGTCACTCATTACCTCCTCGATTGTGCCATAACAAAACTTCACATTCTTCTCAATCAGTTTTCATTGTCACGTGATTGCGCACCTATGCCGATTTTGGTTTTCTTATTAGTGGTCTTTGAGAATGTGAAGTCGCTCTTTTTGACACTGTGATCAAGTATTAGACTCCGATCCCACATTGGGCTGAAGATCGGATTTTGCTCTAATTTCTACCTCCCTCGTGGCTTTGTTTCTGCTTCTGTTCTACGTGAGCATGATGCCGATAACCCAAGGCACTAATTCGATTGAGTAGCTGTGCTACCCTTTGTGTCCACCTCTTTAAGCAGCCAATTGCTGCACCTTGCATGAAAATTCCTGGGATGGTGTTTTATTATTTCTGTTACTTTTTTCGTTTAAAGGAAAATTAATAGCTTATTTCTTTCAATTCAACCCAAAAAATGTAGTTTTAGCGTTGAAGGGAAGTTTTGAACGTGTAGAAGTGTTTTTTTGGGCTTTTTAGGTGTCTATTGCTCGCCCCAGTAGCGAGTCAATAAAAGGTGCCAATCTCTACATTTGTGGTCTGCCGAAGAACATTTCGCAGGAGGATTTGGAGAAAATATTTTCGCGTTGTGGGAAAATAATCACCTCACGTCTTCTTGTGGACCCCACCACAGGTGAGTTATGCAGTGATAAAACTACCCTAGGCCACTATGCTTGCTAAACTATCACTTCTATAGGCTACTAAACAACCAAACTGTAGGATAATTTCCACTACCCTTTCTCTCTTATTCTCACTTATGTGGCTTGTGTTTGCCGACGATTTGAAGTTCTGAAGCGTGAGTCTTTCTTCTCTTTCTTTATTCACATAATCGTACCTCCATTGTTCTCAATGAATCTGTGTGAGAATTTTAGACCCTTTCCGCAACCGTAGTTACATGCAGTGAGAATTGAAATTGATCGGAAAGTACTTTTGTGGCGTCCAAAAACTCCCCTATAGGTGTACTAAGAAGCAGTTGTCGATGTACGGACGACCTGAAAGGCTACCGACTTAATTCTCAAGCTGAGCCGCATGTCTGTGGTATGATGGCGGGGCGGGTCTCATTTTCTAGTCGCATTCCTGATAAAGATACGTCGTTTCC